CCTCACCTATACGTCTCATTGCGCAATGAGGCTTACGCAATATGCAATTCTAAAAATTCACAACGACTACGCAATACGCAATTTCAAACCTTGCTCCCAACTCATCTAAGTGGTGCATCACTCGGTCTTTTATGCAAATGAACAAACCACCGCAATCGAGATTATTGCATCATACTACCTCCGTCCCAAAAAACTTTGCCATTTCAAAAAATTTGAACATTGATTTTGATTATTATAATATTATGGAAATTATAAATTTTATACTTTTATGAAAGTACTTTTAACAAAGAACATTTTCATATAATTTTTATATTAATAATAATTTTCAATAAAGAGATAGTCGGTCAAAGTTTTGAAAATGACAAAGTTTTTTGGGACGAAGGTAGTATCTTTTATAGGTGCTAGTGTGCTAATTCCACCTTTTATTTGATTATCTCATTTCTCAAACAACCTTTTTTGGTATGTCCACACATCCAACACAACATGCGCATCTCTGCTACACTTGTCCTTTGATTGTGACATGGTTTCACTGCCCAACATTCTACACCATATAGTAATGTAGGCTTTAATGTTGGCCGATAAAATTTACCTTTCAGTCTAATCGACATATATCAATCACATTGATGCATGCTACAATATAATATTATGGCAAGATAAAAAGAGCAATTAAGTAGAATAATGAGGAGTAAATAGCTGGTTGATTTACTTGATTGACTTTATTATGATTTGATTTTAATACCTTCATTATTTGATCTATTTTAGGAAGTGATTTTCCAGGATTTTCCTTTCCTTGTTTTCTACATTTATATGCATGTAATCCCTCTTATAAAAGGGGGAGCTTTGCTATGGTAATAAAATATCAAAGAAAAATTAAGAAGAAATTCAAGGAGAAGGAAAACTCTCCGGGAGGGGTGTAATGATGCATGCTACAATATAATATTATGGCAATATAAAGAGAGCAATCAAGTAGAATAATGAGGAGTAATAGCTGATTGATTTGCTTGATTGACTTTTTATGATTTGATTTTAATACCTTCATTATTTGATCTATTTTAAGAAGTGATTTTCTAGGATTTCCCTTTCCTTGTTTTCTACATTCATATGCATGCAATCCCTCTTATAAAAGGGAACTTTGATATGCTAATAAAATATCGAACAAACATTAAGAAGAAATTCAAGGAGAAGGAAAACTCCCCAAATTTCCATAACCCCTATCAATTTATCATTTTTTATTTCATTCCCGTGATGCAAAGAATCCTGGTACATAAGGCAACGGAAAAGGAAATCCTAAAAAATCAAATAGTGAAGGTATTAAAATCAAATCATAATAAAGTCAATCAAGCAAATTAATCAGCTATTTCTCCTCATTATTCTACTTGATTGTTCTCTTTATCTTGCCATAATATTATATATTGTAGCATGCATCATTACACCCCTTCAGGAAAGTCAAGCTTGCCCTCAAGCTTGAAAACTTGAAGATTTTGAATGACTGCACCAATAAAAAGTGCCAGCGATCCTTGTATTTTTGAAGAAGATTGAAAGTCAATGTGAGTGGTGGACTATGGCCAAGGTGATCATCGTCCATTAAAAATTCCATTGGAATACAATGGCAAACTGAGTCAAGTTTAGTGGACCAAAATGGATCCGAGAAGTCTAATAAGTTTGTTTTGAGAAGTTTATCGGGTAGGGCAGTCCCCAATATGGGTGTTGCGGATGGGTCTAGAAGATGTTGTGTTGGAAGCAACGCTGCTGGCGGTTGAGGCAGAAATTCTGAAGATAAAGTGTTTATTGATGGGGGTGCTTCATCTCCTCCCAGGGAGTCCACTGATTGGGAAATGTTGTCTATCTGATTAGAAAGTTTCTCAAGTCACTCCTTTAATGGTGGCAGTGCTTGTTGCACCTTTTGTACTACATTTTGCAGCTTGTGAAGAATGCCCTTCACTTGTCAGTTTATGTAATTCCTTCTGTATCTTTAAGAGGAGTGTGTACTGATCAACATGAAGTGTGAAATTTCCCATGACGCTGGCAACGCAACCCAATGTTATGTATCTGGATTCTTTGCGTCACGGTACTGTTTTTGGCAACACAAGAAATCTGACGTTAAACCTTTCATTCAACAATGCTTTGTTTGTCACAAAAACAAATATGAACGGGAGCCTCCGCCTATTCTTCCGTTTGTATCAGGGGAAACCCAAGTGGCAGATCATGCTGACCTGTTGGCTACCAGAGATGCAATGCTCCATTGGCTCCATGATAATCTTCAAAAGGGCCAGGATAGTATGAATTCATATGCTGATCAACACCATCGTGAATTGTCATTTAATGTGGGAGATGCTGTCTTCCTTCGTATTCAACCTTTTAAACAACACTGTTTGTCGCGAAGGAAATTCACAAAGCTTTCTCCAAGGTTCTTTGGCCCCTACAGGGTATTATGCCGAATAAGCCAGGTTGGTTATAAGCAGTGAGGTATTGGGAAGGAAGAGGCGCAAGTATGAAGCGGTTGGTCAGGGCTGTTTCCTACCTCACACCTTGAGGACAAGGTGGTTGTTAAAGGGGGGAGTGATGATAGGGACCTAGACAGTACTAGTAATAAGAATAATATTAAGTATCAGATATTTTACAATAAGTGGTTTCTAGGCCCAGTGTTGTGTAGCAGAAAAATGTATGATCGATCCGGGACTATCCCACATTAAAGATAACATTATCATTACTTTTGAGGGGGAGTGTAGAAAAATGTAACATATATTTGTTATTTTAATTATTTGTACATCCGGAACTGTATAGATAAGACTTAGAGTAGATAGAACTCTCTAACTAGTAGATAAGCTCGCAGAATAGATAGATCCTATATTTTAGGATTTGTAACAACTAGGCTTTATCTGTAACTTGTATATATATCATTGCCGGATGGCTCAATAATATTCAAGGAAGATTAATTCTTCAAACCTAAAATATAAGATACTGTCCTAGCACACTCCATTAGCAAGACACCCATTTTGCATGGAACTCCAGTTGCTTTAACATCCGTTCCAGGAAATCCCATTCCGCCTGATCATAAGTCTTGCTCATATTGAGTTTTAAAGCCACATAACACACCTTTCCTTGTCATTTTTTTAAAGTAATGATGAGACTCAAAAGTAATGATAATGTTATCTATAATAGATCTCCTTGTTATGATTGCACTCTGATTTCCTGAAATCAGTCTGTCTAAAATAAACTTCATTCTGTTTGCAAGAACTTTGGATATTTTTTATGGATATCATTAGCTAGAGCAGGAAACAGTCTCTCTGTGCTTTAGTACAGGGGTAAGGCTGCGTACATCCGACCCCCCATACCCACCGTAGGTGGGGAGCCTTTATGGCACTAGGGTAATGATGATGATGATAACATCAGCTAGAGCAATCAGCCTCCATTCAGAAACTGTCTCTGGTTTATCAACTTTTGAAAGGGGTACCAAATGAGTTTGATTAACTCTATCCGGTAAACAACCTGACTCAATGTCTCTCGACAAAACATGACCACATCTGGACCAACAACCTTCCAAAAGTGTTGAAAAAAACCCAGGCTTAACCCATCTGGCCCGGGAGATTGTCCAGGAACATGGAGATTAGGGTGTTTCTCACCTCTTTTGAACAAATCGGCAGCAGAAACGACACAATCTGAGCTGCAGAAACCTTCCTCGTCATTCCCGAGAGAATACACTCTGGAGAACCCTGCAAAGCAGTAAACAAGTTAGAGAAAAACTCCCCAATGAGCTCTGTCATTTCCGACCTTCCTTTCACCCAGCTCCCTCCCTCCCCTTTGACACCACCATCGTATTTTCTCTCCTTTTTGTTTCACCGCAGTATGCAAATATTTGGTATTCTTATCCCCACTCTGATACCAAAATCTTTTCGCTCGTTGCCGCCAAAATTGGTCTTGTTTTGCAAGTACCTGGAGATATTCTTTCTTTACTTTCCAGAATTCCCTCATACCTTCTTCCACCCATGCCGGAGTCCCCCTTCCTCTTTCCCCAGTAAATTGATAATCCTCAAAAGGGAAACTTACCAAACAACATGCCTAAATCACCTCTCGAAATCCCCTAAGTAGCCAACTAGGATGAGGAAGTCGCCCTTTTTTTCTCATTCTCATATAAGAAATATATCATTAAAATCGCCCATTCAACATATCCCATGACTCCTTTCTCCTTTCCTGTTCTGGATACCAGTAGAACCCCAACACTTCATGAGTTCTTTTTAACATGTTTTTAATTGGACCAATTTCAATTCCAAATTAGACTAAAATTAAACAGACCAAACATAAACAGACCTGACCAGAATTCGATAATAGTGAAATACACATAAAATCGACATCTACGGACCAGACCAGAATTCGATAATAGTGAAATACACATAAAATCGACATCTACGAGACCGGGTCAAAAAAATTCAGTCCAATTAAAAACATCTCAGTTCTCAATTTGAAACCATACTATATAACTATTCAAGATGGAAATTGCCAAATATGTTTGTGTTTTACCGCTCTTATACTTTATTCATGAATATAAAAGATTCTTTAATTATTTATTTAGATTCTATTTTAGAAATTATGCATTTAAGATGCCCAATATGGAAAAATAGGATGGTAGTTCTTTTTATATATTTTATATTTGTTGTTGAATTTATATGACACATCTAGTATATAACGGTTCTTTGATCAAGGGCTGTTGTGAGTTTAACTGCTAGAGAAAGAAGACTTCCTTGAAAACTATTACTCCCTTTGTCCCATAAAATTCTTCTCAGTTTGACTTGTATTGGAGTTTAAGATAGTGAGAATAAAGTGGAAATGTATGGACGTATGGTTGTGGTTGAGTAAGAAAAAGGTAAATGAATTTTAGCCACATAACTTTCCAAAAGGGGAAATTGGAAGAATTTTTTGATATATCCCAAAATGGTAAGTGAGAAGAATTTTATGGGTCAGAGGGAGTATATATTTACAGATGATATTTTTTGCATGAACAGGTCTATAAACCCAGTGAATACAGTAGAGTCCTTGCTATTTGTGGTCCAGGGAATAATGGTGGTGATGGCCTTGTAGCGGCTCGCCATCTTCATCACTTTGGTTACAAGCCAATTATATGTTACCCTAAGCGCACTGCCAAGGCTCTTTATAGTGGTTTAGTGACTCAGGTATGGATGTGATAGAACCAGCTCAAATATACAGTTAAATCTCTCAAAGTATCAAACAAACAATCTGCAGCTTTATTGATTTAGAACAGGTAACAAGAAACTATGGCCGAAACCCCCAAAAGCCGAAGCTCTCAAAGAAAGAGATTATGAGTCTCAGTCTTCCCAAGTCCCAAGACAAAGAGTCCAAAAGCCTTCCCACTAACTCCCCCTTCCCATCTATTTATACTAGAATACTCCCAGACCTTTATTATTACTATTATTATTATTACTACTATTACTAGTCTAATAAGTGGGTTCCTATCAATACTCCCTCCCTAAACAACCACCTTGTCCTCAAGGTGGGATGATAGGAACCAATTCTGGAATTCCGCTTCCTCCTGGTGCCTCTCCCCTCCCAGTACCTCGCTGTTGGTGGTATAAGAAGTTTCCAGACTTCTAGACCTCTGGCTGGGAAACTCTTGGTCATGCTCAACATTGCATGTCCCTCAGACTCCATCCTATCTCTTGAGTGAAACATCTCACTGAATAGCTCATATAGAACTTCATCCACACACATGTCAGAAGGAAGTTTATGAAAACTATCATCACACTGTGTTCCTCTTTTTGAATTTAAGACTTCCACAATCTCCAATGGTTTTTCCCCATTATGAAACAGAAGTAGTATTTGTCCCATTACACTGCATAGCCAGATGTCTTCTTTAAGAACATGCTTATTTTCCTTCAGTAATGCACCCATCAGCTGAGTTGCATGAATATCCAATGCAAATTTAAAGGAAGTAACAATTTCCAACGGACCATAAGTCCACCCACCAGGGCTGTTCTGTCCCAAATAACTTCCTGACACTTCAGAAGATCTTGACAGAAAATGGACCTGATTACCATAGAGTATTTCTAAAAAAATTGGTGCAACAACTTCGCCTAGAGCTTGCTGATAACTCTTATGAGCCATTTTCTGTAATACTCTTGTGAAGATGTCAAAAACATCAGGAAGTGATAGGCTAAGAACAGTCTTTGCAGTGATGTCTCCCAATTTTAGATATCCTTCTAATGCTTTCAATGGATTCTGTAAGCCCAGCTTGTGGTAGTTTATCATGCTATCAACAATAGGCTGCAATTCTGCTTCTTTTAATCGTGATAAGTCTTTAACAATTACTGTTGCGAGTTGCAGGGAACTTCTATCGAAGTGCTGGCAATGGTTAGACTTCACATCCTCAGGAAACGGTTTACGGTTTCCAAACATAATAGCAAATTCTCCAAAAAAAAGATCCACATGATCCTCCTGAGCCTCTGGACCAGATTTCCTTTTACCAATGCCTGAATATTGTGAAAACATTTCCCTTGGTTGTCTAGGTTCTTGACTTTTGATCAGAACAGCTTTATCATCTGAAACGTTCTTGATTTTAAGTGCTCCATTTTCATAAGCAGTTAAAACTCTACTTCCAAAGGGACATGGGTGGATAAGCAGGTCAGCAATAGAAACTCGACTGAGAGTTAAATCCATATCAATTTCAAGATTAGGAGAAGCATAATCTGGCATTTGTTTAACCTGAAAAACCGTTTCCGACTTTAAGACACCTACAACAGTAGATTGCTCCTCGACTTCGTCCTCCTTATTCGTTTTCTTGATTCCAGATTCAATTGGTTCCCTCTCAATCTCCTTTATGGACGGGAGAATTTCTTGCTCAGGGCAAAACCATCTTGCGATAAAACTGGCGAACACAGAGAAACGACTTGAGAAGAGGAAGGGAAATAGTAAAAATCATTTGGTGACTTTCTTGGACACGAACTGAGGTCCGGAGAGGAATTTTGCGAATGGCGAGAAGCAGTTCGCTTCTGTGAATAGTGATCGGAAGTTCGCGAGTGCGAGCCAAAATAAGTAGTTCGCGATCGCGAACTGGAAGATGAGGTTCGTGACTGCGAAATATGAGAAGTTCGCGGTTTCATCTGCGAATCCGTCGGTGATAGCGGCTCATGGCTGAAGTTCCTCGATCGATCTCCAGGTCTTCTGCGAAGACTCTGTTCTTCTGATTCCTCTGAGTCAATCGGATGTTGCGTACGTCGATGAAGAGAGTCGCGATGCGACCTATGCGATTTGTGCGATCGATTCCGCGAACAACTTTTAAGTCGGTTCTGCAATTCTGCGATGCCAGCTTGCATCGTCGCTTGCATATCAGCCATCATCGTCGCTAACCTAGCGTTTGACTCCCTCATCAGTCGGTCAATATTATCAAAACTCTCTTCCATTTGAGGTGTCATGTAGAAATCCTCCTCCATGCTTCAGATTCTCCATGAAGTAAGTCTCTGATACCAATGATAGAACCGGCTCAAATATACAGTTAAATCTCTCAAAGTATCAAACAAACAATCTGCAACTTTATTGATTTAGAACAGGTAACAAGAAACTATGGCCGAAACCCCCAAAAGCCGAAGCTCCCAAAGAAAGAGATTATGAGTCTCAGTCTTCCCAAGTTCCAAGACAAAGAGTCCAAAAGCCTTCCCACTAACTCCCCCTTCCCATCTATTTATACTAGAATACTCCCAGACCTTTATTATTACTATTATTATTTGTGGAGATATTAGAATATTTGGTTGATTATAATCAGATCATGATCAGAACAAATCTCATTATAATCAACCAAATATTCTAATATCATGATCTGTTTTCCTAGAATCAAGTAGGAGATTTGTATTAATTAGAAGAACTTGTACATAATTAACCAAATATTCTAATATCTCCACATTATTATTACTACTATTACTAGTCTAATAAGTGGGTTCCTATCAGGATGTGGCCCAATTTAGAGGAAAGCATGCGTGTGTGTGTCTAATGCATATGGGTGCCTTATTTTGTAGCTTGAGACGCTCTCAATTTCATTCTTGTCTGTGGAAGATCTTCCAAAGGACTTGTCACAGAACTTTGATATTATTCTAGATGCTATGTTTGGATTCTCCTTCCATGGTAATTTTTCTCCCTTCTTGAGTTCTTTGTTCCTCTCTCTCCACCAAACTTAGGCCAAGTTTATTTACAAGATTTTTTTGTGTTTGGTATCAGACATGTTTTCCTTGATTCAAATTTATGTTTTGTCTTTTCTTGGGTTAAACATTATATATAATATATACAACTTATTTTCCAAGTAAAGATTTTCCACTGCAAACATTTTCTCAGAAATCATTGTCAACGACGTTATTTTTCCATTAAAACAAACAGAGCCTTTATGTTCACATATTCTCTTCAAGATTTCAACCACCAAATATTTTACTTGGCCGTGAAGTTTCTTCACCAACGGTTCAAATGGGATTACTTGAGTACCTCACAGAGGTTGTGGATTCAATATGGACCACAATTCACCGGATCCAGATCACATGCCTCATGCAACACTACCCATATCTAGATGTAGATTAAGGGTATGGACATAGAAGGACTCGGGGAACATCACAATCACCCGTCAGTTGAGTGAAAGAGCAAAACTCACACAACCTTTGTTACTTAAAAAGTCATTTTTGTCAAATGACTCAAATCTATAGTACTCCCCATGATGTCTTTCCTATTTCTTTCATTGCCCCCAACTTATTTGCTAGAATTATGTTATTCTATGATTCTATCCAAATCCAGGTGTCCCAAGAGCACCTTTTGACGATCTAATTCGGAGGCTTGTAGCATTACAAAGTAATGAGCCAAGTCATAAGAAGTCACCGGCTATTGTGTCTATTGATATTCCATCTGGGTGGCATGTTGAACAAGGAGATCTTAGTAATGAAGGCATTAAACCCGACATGCTTGTCTGTACAGATACACATCTTGTTTATTTTTCTTATGAATCTTGGCCTAGTTTGGTAACATTAATCACCTTATTCTGCTCATCAACCAAATAATATCCTGTGATTTGCTTATTTTGTTCAATTTTTTTTACCAAATGCTATTACTTTCCGAAAACCATTACCAAACAGGAACCTAATCTCTGAACACGACGTAATCTGAAAGAGACTTTACATTGTATAGGTTTCTTTAACTGCTCCTAAGTTGTGCGCCAAACACTACTGTGGCCCACACCACTTTCTTGGTGGAAGATTTGTTCCACCATCAGTTATTGACAAATTTAAACTCCTTTTGCCCTCATATCCTGGAACATCATTGTGTCTTCGTATTGGAAAGCCCCCAAAAATTGACATATCATCTCTAAGGGAGAATTACATATCCCCCGAGCTGCTTGAGGAGCAGGTTGAGTTAGACCCCTTTGATCAGGTGAGTTTTATGTATATGTGATTAGCGAGTATATTACTTTAGAAAACACCCCCACTCTCTAAAAAAGGTCATGTTTCAAACATCTGTCCCAAAAACAACTCTGTTTGATCAAAAGAATTTAGTTTTTAAGGTAGTTTACAAAAACAGTCACTGTACATGTGATACATTTAGCTAAACGACAATAGATGTTACTCTCTCCGTCCTGTACAACTTGGCCAAAATTGACTTGTGTGTCAAATACTCCCTCCGTCCCGCTAAGATTGTTTTATTTTACCTTTTCGGGAAATCCCAGTGAGATTGTCTCGTACCAAATTTGGTAAAGTTTTTGTGGCTCTAAGTCATTCTTAATTTATTCTTACTCAACATCAATCACATAAACTCACTTTTCTTAATAATCGTGCCACCTTCTCTCGTCCCAATTTTAGTGGGACGGAGGTAGTAATAAAGTAGAAATTGTGTGGTTGAGATCTAAGCAGATGAGAGAAATAACTTCAACCACATATATATAACTACCTCCGTGCCATTGACATTGGGACTTGAGGAGATGGTGCGGTTTTTAAGAAAAGTGAGTTTATGTGTTTGATATTGAATTGAAAAAGTAAGGATGATTTAGAATCACACAAATTTTACCAAATTAGATATGAGACAATCTTAGTGGGATAGACCGAAAAGGAAAAATGGGACTATCTTAGCGGGACAGAGGGAGTACTTTAATTGGAATTGCCAAAGTTTTTTGGGACGATTAAAAAGGAAAGTTGTCAAAGTTTTGTGCGATAGAGGGAGTAAATAATAAGTATGATTAATGACTTAGCAGCTCTTACCTTTACCAAAATTCAAAAGCTGTACATCGGTCAAACAGGACTTTTTGTTTGACAAAGGTAGTAGGCTAGTAGCATGAATTCTTTGTTCATGTGGGGATTGTTAAACGGTTTCCGTTGTTTGTCATGAGTATATATACGATATATATATTTCTGATAACTTGAATCTACTTAGACTCTAAAGCAAAACAAAATAAAGTGAGTATAACAAGAAAGGACAAATAATTTTTTGTTTTCAAATACAAACTCTTTTGTTGTAGTTCGAAAAGTGGTTTGATGATGCGTTGGCAGCTGGACTGAAGGAACCAAATGCTATGGCATTGTCCACAACTGGAAAAGACGGGAAACCGTGAGTACCTTGCAGTTAATTTGTCTTCTCAAAATCACATTTCCATATTATTTAGGCATCATATGATACATTCCAGTAGGTAAAAGGCTGAAAGTTCATACGCGGAGCAGACTGGAGGCACACTTTTACTATTGTTATTATAATTATAATTATAATTATAATTATAATTATAATTATAATTATAATTATAATTATTATTTATGTCTGCAGTAATTAGTGTTGGTTAATGTGGTAGTAGGTAGTTACTCCTCAGGCAACTAGCAGGGCACTAGGCATTTAGTTGGCAGTTAAAGTTTATGGAAGTTATAATATGTAACCAACCTTCCTCTATTTAAGAGGTTTATTTTCAATAGTGAATATCTGAAAAAAGTGTCAATAGTTAGAATCAGGGAGTTGGAGAATTCTCAACAAAAATTCTCATCTTCTTCTTCCACCATTCCACACGATATTCACTCTACACGACTGCAGGCTGCAGCATCTATATGCCAGCAAGCAACACCGTCAATCAGACCTCCGAGCAACCTTCTGTCTCCTCCTATTCCGGTCCCGTGACGCGATCCCAAACCCGGGCACATAACAATTTGGTATCAGAGACAGTCGTCATGGGTGAACCAGAACAATCTGCTGCCAAACCCTCCATGAACGCCCGAATGAAGGCACTCGAAGATCAAGTCTGTGCCATACATGCCATGCTCCAACAGTATATGCAAAATCAAAATCAACCTGGTCACACACAGGCTGCTTCTTCTAACAACCATCCACCTTCCGGTGATTTTCATGACAATCAAAGAGATGAACGCCCTAGTTCCGTCTTACCGAAATACTCTCGTTTAGAGTTCCCAATATTCAGCTGCAAGGAGGATCCGCTCGGATGGCTCCATAAATGTGAGCAATTTTTCCGTAACCAAAACACCATGGATGTTGACAAGGTTTCATTGGCTTCCTACCATATGACGGGCGAGGCTCAGCTTTGGTCTTACAACTTGGAATTAAGAGAGCCTAATTTGCCATGGCACCGTTTCAAACATTGTTGCAAGTTACGCTTCGGCCCTCCCCTAACAGATAATGCTCTAGGAGATATCGCCAACTTAAAACAAAGTAAAGGATCAATTGCAGGCTATAATGAAAATTTTCAGAGCCTTTTGGCTCGAACGACAACAGTTCGTGAAGATCAGTTGGTTGACTTATATACTGCTGGACTTGATGAGGCTCTACGCATGGAGGTGGAGTCACATCATCCAAATAGCCTTGAAGTGGCCATGAATCTGACTCGTTCTTACGACGCCAAAGGCCGCTTAATTCCGCGCTGGTACGACCAATCTCTTATGCCGACGGTCCTTACTAAAAGTCAACTGCCACTCTCAAACACTCAGGAAAGACCTAAGTCTCGGGATCCAAAACTTCACCAGCAACCTTCAGAACTCACTAGCAATTCATTTGGCCCCTATATACGAAAACTCTCGCACAGTGAGATGGCCCAGCGCAGGTCAAGGGGCTTGTGTTATAACTGTGATGAAACATATACGCCCGACCATAGGTGCAAACGACTTTTCTATCTTGAACTTGAAGTGTCCGAGGATGATGAAGCCGCAGCAGGGTGCAAACTGGCCGAACCAGAAACCTCTCTTCACGCCATCACAGGAGTTAACCATGCCCAATCCATGCATGTTGTGATCATAAACAAATGTTCCATAAAGGCCCTCATCGATACAGGTAGTACACATAATTTCATTGACGTGAATACAGCAAACCGCTTGGGATTAGGCATTCAATATTGCCCAAGGCTTTGGGCGGTTGTGGCTAATGGTGAAAAAGTGGAAGGAATGGGTGTGTGTGAAGATGTGCTGGTTTGCAAAGAGGGACAGCTCTTCCCTGTTTCCTTCTACGTGCTTCCACTAAATGGCCTCGAATTGGTACTTGGAATAAAGTGGCTACAAACACTTGGGCTTGTGTTATGGGATTTCTCTTCCCTCACAATGAGCTTCACTTTAAATGGGAATTCAGTAACATGGACAGGGGAGAATGTTCAAAAACATTATTCTAATCAGGGTGCCCAAATGAAGAAATTTTTCTCCATCGACAAGATCCCAACTCCTGTGTGCGCGCTTACTTCACTTGTTGAGGCAGTAGGCCTTCGACAAAGACTTTTCACTTCCCCTACACAACTATGGTTTGCTATACTACAAAGCTGTGCACCCCAGGTGATATTCAAGCTGTGGAGTCGGATTCATGATGTGTTTATATCCTGCCTTCAAGCTTGAGGGCAAGCTTGACTTTCTGGGAGGAGTGTATTGATACATTCCAGTAGGTAAAAGGCTGAAAGTTCATACGCGGAGCAGACTGGAGGCACACTTTTACTATTATAATTATAATAATAATAATAATAATAATATTATTATTTATTATTATTTATTATTATTTATGTCTGCAGTAATTAGTGTTGGTTAATGTGGTAGTGGGTAGTTACTCCTCAGGCATTCAGTTGACAGTTAAAGTTTATGGAAGTTATAATCTGTAACCAACCTTCCTCTATTTAAGAGAAGGTTTATTTTCAATAATGAATATCTGAAAAAAGTTTGTCAATAGTTAGAATCAGGGAGTTGGAGAATTCTCAACAAAGATTCTCTTCTTCTTCTTCCACCATTCCACATGATATTCACACTACACGACTGCAGGCTGCAGCATCTATATGCCAGCAAGTAACACCGTCAATCAGACCTCCGAGCAACCTTTGTCTCCTCCTATTCCGGTCCCGTGACGCGATCCCAAACCCGGGCACATAACATCATACCTCTATCAACTCGTGTGCATCTTTATGTTCATATTGTATCTCCTCTTGTTTATCTGTTCTTTTTGAAAAAAAAACGAAGGAACTCTAACATCCTTCAACGATGCCTTACTGTATGGCAAAATTTAGGTTAACTTTAATATATGGAATACTTTATACTTATAACTAGACCATAACATCATTTTGGTATTTATGGATAGTTCTTCAAGAATCGTATTGCTAAAGGGAGTTGGCAAACATGGTTTTGTGTGGTTAGTTATCCTTTTTCTTGTCCCACTACATAGTCCTGACTGATATATTTAATGTACGATTTTACATTCTTTTTTTCTTTAATAATTATTTTTTGGGTCCAGGTACACCAATTATGAAAGTCGCAAAGCTCGGGAAATTTCTCAAAACCCTCACGCTGCCCTGCTTTTTTACTGGGATGGTTTAAACCGCCAGGTCAAGCATCTTAAGCATTTCAATCTATGTTCCCATAAATTAAAAACTCTTGCTTACTTGCTCTCTCGCTCGCTGGCTTGCTTGCTTATAATATAATTCTAAGAACCAGTGTTATGATTTTGTGTGAAATTAATTGAAATAAGGGTGCCAATAGGTTAGTGGAATAATTCTTTTTATCTTCTGTTTGCAGGTAAGAATAGAAGGATCTGTACAAAAAGTATCTGATGAGGAATCTGAAGAATACTTCCATAGCCGTCCACGGGGAAGTCAGATTGGAGCCATAGCTAGCAATCAGGTCATTTATTTCTCAGCCATATTTGACTCACAGTTCATATGTCAATGACTCCATTACTTTCAATTTACTTAATAAATAAAATAAATAAATTAGAGCACAGTAATTCCGGGACGCGATGTTCTCTACCATGCGTACAGAGAATTGGAGATGAAGTACTGTGAAAGGTTAGTCATCATCCAATGCATGTGTGACCTTTTTTTATTACTTTGAGCTTTGCTTCACATCTTTTGGCTCCGTGTTTTTTAACCTGGAAATTCAAGGGAAGGAAATAGAGGTGAAAATTGGAAGGAAATAAAACTTGGAGAAAAATAAAATTAATTATTTTTATCTATTTGTGTGCGCGTGTATCTATATTGAGTTTTATTAAATGAAGACTAAATACTTATTCTTATGTGTAAAATCTCAAACCAAAATCTTTTAGTAACAAGGTTTGGATGTTGTTTTTGTTGTTGGTGTGTAAAATCTCAAAACACACTCACACATACACATTAGTTCCGTCCCACTAAGATTAGGAGTTTGAGTCATGAGAAAATGGTGCGATTATTAAGAAAAGTATTTTTATATAATTGGTATTGAATTGAATTACTTTCCATCATTTGCAATGGAGCCAAAGATTCATTATTTTTTGGCTTGAGATTATGATGAAATAAAGCAAAATGGCTCACTAAATTGTTTGCGCTTCTTTGTCATGAAGCAGCAGTCAGTCCATGCAATTTTGGACGGGATGTTCACTATGGGTCATCCGGAAACAGTCTCTCTGTGCTTTAGTACAGGGGTAAGACTGCGTACATCCGACCCCCCTTACCCCACCGTAGGTGGGAGCCTTTGCGGCACCCAAAAAGGAAAAATGACATCCTTTTTAGAACAACTCAAAAAGGAAAGTAAGAAAACCAAAATAGGGCAGAGGGAGTACCTAATATAGTATGTGATAAACAAAAAAAGATAAGACAAAGGTAGTGGACAAATGGAGTATATATATACATACACAGAGGAGGGCTCCGGTGAAAACTCCTTTTAAAATGAGAGCTCCTCCTTATTCTGTGAACTTTTAATCTTCATCATATTTTTTTTCAATCAATACATAGCACATACAAAGTTTCATTTTTGAGTCTGGTTTAAACTGGTCTAGTCTAGTAAATGTTTGTTATATGTGTATTTTACAACTCTTGAAGTCTAATTTTGTCTGGGACAGAAACTAGTCCAATTAAAAACATCCTTAATTTTGGGATACCTCCTAAAGAAAAATAAAAACTTGGAATGTTTTTTACTTGGATTTAAATTTTCTGATATGATGTAGTTTGGTTGTCTGTTTAAATATGGTCTATTAAATTGGTTTGGTATGATAACTGCTATTCCGAGTATGAAATTTTCCAATAATCTTTTAGTTCAAATAAAAAATGTCATTCCCGTGAAAAGGTGCTTAACGTGTGAAATGTGAAATATTTACTTTCATAGCACTATGATGCACTTGTATGATGCACTTGTATGTTCAGATGGTGTACTTTTTCATGTTTGCAAAAAGTTCACTTGTTTATAAAATTTTCACGATTCCCCTCGTGAAAAGTTTGTTCTTTTACGTATTCACTTTTTGTTGTTGATTGATGTGTAGGGAGGGAGGGAGGGCACACATATATGCACTCTCTACTTTGTTTTAACCAAAGTCATACTCTCATCCAACTCAAGAAGCATATCAGTTCTGATTCCTCTAATCCAAGTTTGTTTGGGTCTTCCTTTCCCCGCTCCTAACCGCCTGTTCTCCCCCAGCTCTCAACTTGTCTAAGAGGTACATCACACAATCTTCTACGAGCATGACTAAACCCTGCAATTGAGACTCTTGCATTTCATCTTTTATAGGTGCTACTCCCACCTTTTGTCCGATTTTCTCATTCCTCAAACGGTCTTCTTTGGTATGTTCAGACATCCAACGTAACATATGCATCTCTGTCACACTCATCTTTTGAATGTGACATTGTTAAACTGTCCAACACTCTACGTCATACATTAGTGCATGTCTTATTTGTTGTCTGATAAAATTTACCCTTAAGTCTAGTCGGCATACCTCGATTGCATATAAATCCCGATCACTCTTCCACTTCATTCACCCTGCTTTGCTTCTATGGGATACATCTCCGCCTAATTCACCATATTTTTGAATTATAAAGCCCAAGTAACGGAACATTATCACACACCGGTATCTCGTTGCCATCAAGGGTAATCCCACTATTACTACTACTTCTACCTTTACCGAACTTGCACTCCATATACCCAGTCTTACTTCGACTCACTCTGAAACCCTTGGTCTCCAAAGTTTTTCGTCATACTTCCAACATTGTTTTAACCCCCGATTGTTTCATCAATCAATACAATATCGTTGGCAAACATCATGCACCATGGTATATCTTCTTGAATTGACTTTGTCAGTTCATCCATGATAATAATAAATAGAAAAGGACTCAGAGTCGATCTTTGGTGCACTCCAATAGTAATAGGGAACTCCGCAGTCCTCTTTACACTAGTACAAACACTTGTAGTACAAGCTTCATACATATTCATGATGATACTGATATACTTACGTGATATGCCTTTTCTAGTCAAGGCCCACCAAAGGACTTCTCGAAGCACCCTATCATATGTTTTTTTTCTAGTCAAGGCCCACCAAAGGACTTCTCGAAGTACCCCTATCATATGCCTTTTCTAAGTCAATGAACACCAAATGCAGATCCTTTTTTGTGTCTCTATACTTCTCCATAACGTGTCTAAGAAGGTGAATAGTCTCAGTTGTTGAGCATCCAGACATAAAACCAAACTTACTTTCCGAATTTTCACACTTTTTCGGAGTCTTTGCTCAACTACTCGCTCCCAATGTTTCATGATGTAACTCATAAGCTTAATCCCTCGATAGTTGGCATATTCTTGTTCACCACCCTTATTTTTAAATGGGGAAATAAGCGTACTCTCCCAAACTTCTCCAGGCATCGATCGGTATGCCATCTGGACCCACTGCTTTCTTCCGTCTCATCTTTCTCAAAGCCTCTTTAACTTCTGACATTTGGATCCTTTTCTAAAAATCTCGATTTACCATACAACTTCTTGGGACAGGCATGATGCCAAAAATGATCTCATGGCGGAGTTTTTTTAAGTATGAAAAAAATGCACCAGATTCATATTCATTTCTCGTTAGGTTGCGTTTTCATTTGGATAAAATGAAATCATGATTTAAAGAAAAAATAGAGAATGAATCTAGTGCGTTGGACTTTGAGATTGTGCATTAATGAAAGAGAAATATGCAGAAGCATCAATTACAAAATGTGGTCATATTTTTTGTGAATAAATTAATCATTTTCTGCCAATTTGAATTATGCGCTATCATAATTATAAATGTGCACTGTCACGAATCAAAATGTGCATCGTTTTTTGTCGTTCTCATTTCTCTCGGGAAGAATTGTTCTTACCAAAATCAGAGCCTATATTTATAAAAAAATTAGTTATAATAATGATTTAGCTGCCCCAAAATCTTTTGAGAATAAGGCTTGAATGTTGTTTCGTTATAATATAAATTATTTCTTGGATGAAAATTAAGAAGTAATCTTGATCATTTAAATATGAAAAAATTAAAATGAAACTACGGAAACAAGGTCCACAAAATATATTAAAAGAGAACATGCACATCTCATAAGTGAATCGGAACTTGAAATCAAAATGTACATTAGTTAAAAATACGATAGCCATTTTTAACACTCATTAATATACTTTTATCCATACATTATGCACTTTGTATCATAAAAATTGCACATCAAAGTTTAATATATTTAAAATTTTGCACTACGCCTTTTTGTTAACAATTCATCTAATCTATATATTTTACTTTTTCATACGAATAATACTTTTCACTTGAAACTTGCCACGTAAATAAATAAATGCATGACTAAATAAAAATATAAATAAAAATATAAATGAAAAATAAATAAAAAAGCAAAAGACAAATAAATAAAACGTAGTACTCGTAGTAGATATAGGGGGTGTTTGTCAATTGGTTGTTGGCTGTTAGCCGTTGGCTGATTATGTTAGCTGTTTGATGGCAGCAGATTCAGTTGGCTGCTTTGATTAGCTGATAGAATTAGCCGTTTGGAAAATAGTGTTTGGTTAAATGGTTGTTTATATTTAGCTGATAACTTGTTAAATGACTTTTAAGGACATCAATTATTTTTTTTATTAATATAGTCAGTACCACTAGTTTAACCGTTTTTATAATTTTAAAAAAATAAAAACGTATTAACACAAGTGATAATTATTTTAAACATTGTTTTTTCACAAATTAATAAATTTAATTAATTAAAAAAATTAATTAATATGATGATAAATAAATGGAGTTGTAAGTAAAAATATATGGAGTACCAGTTTTATGGTATTAAGACAATCAAATGCCTTGCTGTATTTCATTTCGTTATTTTATTACAAAAGAGGAGAAACTAAGAAGTATAAAATTAATAATTTCCATAAAATTATACTCATCAATATTCCAAACTTTATCACTGATTCACCATTAACTTGAAGTCAAATATGATAATATTTCAAGAGACAAACATCGTAAATTCGTAATAGTTACTACTTAACAATAAGTTAGTCATGTTAAAACAAACTAATGACTCTCCTTGCATAGTTGCATGTCAATGTATTAAGTCTAATTTTGTTGAGGTAATTCTTTTTTTGGTATGTTCTTGATACTTGGTATGACAGTATGTGATGTAGTTTTTATGTGCAGGATATTAATGTTATGTGCATAATATTGAACAAAAGTCAATTTGTGAACTCTAGAAATTAATGTGCAAAATATTAATGTTATGGGAGGGCCCACTAATGAAATTGCTAACAAGTGTGATCTGATAGTTTAACCTTCGTTCTAAGCCAGCAGAAACATTTTTTCTCTTAGGCAAATACATGAGAAATGGGCAATTTATCAGAAGAGAGTGCGAGAGTAGTGGGGTAGACTCGGAATATTTATAATATCAAGACAAAAGCCATGCCCAGACGCTTAGATTAGTGGCGTTTCAAAAGTTGGCTGTTCAGCGCAAGAAGCTGAATAGAAAAGCTGTTTAACCAAACACCTAATTAGTAGATTCATCTGGTCAAAAGTTTAAAAACTAGTCAAAACAGCTAAAAAAATGGCTGATAGGCCACTAACCAAACACTCTCTATGAGCTATTTTTATTGGACAGATGGGTTGGTGCTGGATGGGCGTATATTTTAGTATTACCTTATGTTGTTCAAAATAAATAAGACTGCCTTAATGGTCGGCTGAATGTAAAGAAGTTGATTGTGTTGCACTATGCAGAACGGCGATCATTCCTAAACCAACGAACTGGGGAGGGTACCGACTCAACCCTAAATCGTTTGAATTTTGGCAAGGACAACAATCTCGTTTGCATGATAGGTACACATTAAAATCCATTCTTCCTTGTTTCCTGGTGACTCAGTTAATGAAGTGCAAAAGCGGAAGTGTGGAATTGTAACATCATGAAATTGTATCGTGAGAATTGAAGTGTAATATCTGGTGTGATGTAAGATCGATGGTGAATGCTGGCCTGGGGTTAGTTGTCCCCACAAGCAGGCAGCATATCACGCCAGATGGGGGGCGGGGGGCGGGGGGCTGCCCATGATGAGGTCAGATACCCGCACAATTATAGAAAACCATTCAGGGCAACTTTTATGTGTCCAAATATTTTGGTACTGTAATCCTGATGAGTACGTTGAGTAAACCACATAGATGATTACTTGGGTGCAAATTATTTACAGGTTGCGTTATTCTCTAGAAGAAATGGGTGGAAAGATAGATTGGAAAATTGAGCGTCTGGCACCCTGACTGATGATGCTTTCTCCACTATGATCGCATTGTATCTCACTCCTCGCGCCCAACTCTCCTATGTTGCCCAATCACTCCGTAATGTATCACTTCATTCACCTTATTATTCTAAGTTCAATGTGTTCGGAAAAGATTGATTATGAAGAACGATAGATATGAGTTGTACATTGAAATGAATGTGTCTAAACAAGAGGTGATTTTTTCCCTTTGTGATCAAGGGTTGTTGCTTGGTTTTTCAATACAATACATTAGTTCCTATGTTGCTTGAGTGTGATTAAGGAAACCTTATGTTACTATTATTATTAGGAAAAAATACGTGACTATTAGTAAAACTTATTGAATTTCCCATAGTATGACCTAACAACTTGATTTACCGAAAGATGACTAAAAATACCATACATGAGTACCCGATCTCTTAAAATCAGAACAAAATGACTTGATTGTCCCCATGTCCTTGTCAGCCGTTTAAACGCAAAAGGACCCCTTTTCTAAAACGTAAACTAAACAATATTGTAGGGACACTGAAAATTTATTGCCGGAAAGCGCATGGATGCTCTTCCTTCTACAGCCGTATATCAAAGGAGACATGTTGTTTTTGAAAATAAAGTTTGAATCAAAAGAAAGATCAAGGCATGGCGTGGAACTAGGACGGTGAAGCAGTGGATGCAGTGGAGACAAAGGACACTGGCGATTTTGTGATGACGGCGAAGCAGTGGATGTAGTGAACATGAAGGAGACCGGCGTTTCAGTGACGGAGAGACAGTAAATGCAATGAGAATACGAATTTAGGACATTATAATTAGGACATTAGACTATGTAGGTGGCGAAGCAACACATAAGGCATTTAATTTTTTGAATGAATCAAAGAGGTAGGAAGTATAATGTAAAATAGGTGGGCAATAGTTTAACACAAAACATGTGAAAATTGAGAGCAGTAAGTTGATTATGCAGTAACATTGGTCATTAAAAATAATCTAATGACAGTAATTCTGTTAAGCAGTGAGTAACATGGGCTAGTTAACAACAAGAGAGTTAGGGCAGTAATTTGGTTAAGGAGTAACATTGGTCAGTAAAATTATAAAAAGGTAGTAACGTGGTTTAATCGACTCGAAAATAATAATAATAATAATAATAATAATAATAATAATAATAATAATAATAATAATATGAATGTGTGGGCGAAGAAGAACGTGTACAAGAAGGTTACAAATATAATTTAAAATAATGGAAGGAGTTACTTTGTATGAGTTTAAATTCCTTATTTTTAGGGATTCCATTAATATGTCAGTTACGACTCTAATTACACGGTTATCAATCCATGCCCAATAGTCCGTGAATAACTTATTCACTCCTGAGTTTTAGGGGGGGATAACAGCTCATTCATTAACTGAAAAGAGGGTATTAATGGAATTAAAATTAAAAAGAAAACACGTGCATGGCCTTTAGCATGTGCTGGTGATACTTGAGGCATAAAACTTCATCAAGTCATAGATGAGGAAAGACGTACACTTTTAGTCTTATGCTCACTATATTTCTCTTATTATTACTATATGATGATAGTCGTGGGCTTTTTCATCTTGGTTTTTATTGACATTTTCAGAGAAATGGTGATTTAATGAATATGTATTACTTTTTTATTTCATGTGCCGATTCATGTTGCCGATTCATGTTGCCGATCCCAAACACTTATGGGACTAAGGCTTAAATGGTGTTGTTATTTGGGAATTGTATTTTAATATAACCATGAGTTGATTAATTCGTATCATTGCGGCGTGTCTTCTCGCTATGTATGTGAAGTAAAGGGTCAAAAAATAATTATCAAAGCGGGGAAGAAAGGATGGGATTTGCTAACTCCAAAGAGAAAACGGGAGAAGGAACAAATTGGTAGGGGAAAGGATGCGGTAAAATTTATGAAATCGAAAATTGCTAAAAGTGAAGATATTGAAAAGTTGATTTGTATCTAAGTTGTACCAATATGTGAAGAGTGGGAAGAGTCGACTCAAGGGAAACCCTAAGCGGTGATCTCGTAGCCCTCTCCTCTCTATCCAGCAAGAGTATTGGACGATGGCGAAGTTCTCTAAGAATCAAAGGTTTTCCTATGCTTCTGCTCTTATTTAATTTATTTTTTAACCTACGAGAGTTTTGGTTTTGGTCTTGGTTCTTTTTAGCCGAGAGTTTTGGTTTTGGTCTTGGTTCTTTTTAGCCGAGAGTTTTGGTTTTGGTCTTGGTTCTTTTTAGCCGAGAGTTTTGTTCACATCATGTGAGTTTGAGATATGTTCTCCTCCTAGCAATGTCTAGAGATTGTGTGTGTTTTGTCAGTGTAACCGATTGAGTGGTGAATTGTCGTTGTTCATTGTTGGCAAGCTAGTTCATCCTAATTTTTCGGAGGCCTTAATTACTCGCCCTCAACCTGAATAGCCTCCTCACTATGAGATAAAGATAGCGCACAACTGGATATGTTCATCGGTGGTTGGTCAAATCAATGATTCAGATGATTTCTTCTCGGTAGAGTTTCCTTTGTCGATTAGCGATCAAATCAATTCTCCATTTCTAGAGACCAATGAAGTCTAATCTTTTATTTGTTATTTCTTATTTTTTTCTTTGGAGTAGTAAGTACAATAAGACATAGAATATATTACAAAATGGAAGAAAGAGAATAGCATTTGATGATTAAATAAGATCCGAAATAATGGCACCTATATTACTTTTAGAGATCTTCTAGACAAAAATATGACCATCTTTTAATCTAGAAAAAACTATGACTAATTAATTAAAAATTAATAGCCATAAATAACTCTAATATATTCCAACCCTAATCAATATCATCTCTCTTTACAACACATCAATCACACGCCTCCCTTGAATTGCAACTGCTTCTTTTACAGAGCATTGAGAACGGCGATTCTATCTAACCCACACCGACTACCCAAAATTGATCCATCTACTCTGCATGCTTCAATGCTAACCTCCACTGCTCCATCAACATTATTGAAGATCTATCAATAAAAACACCATTAATGATGGTGGTGCCTATGCAACGCCATGTTTCACCTTTGGATCGATGTTGGGAGTCCACCTATGGTGATGTGTCGGCCGAACACCTCTTGTTCCAGTCATTAGAGACATCAATGTCTCACAACCTTTATTCTTCCCCTTCTTAATTGATGTTGGACAACATCGATTTAGGGCTCCAGTAACTGCTCAATACAGTGACTGACGGCGGGAGTCATCAATGGCCGACATAGTCACTAGGTGGGTTACCGACGGTGGTCACTGGGCGGATAACAGGAGGTGGTCACTGAATGAATTATGACAGACATAATCACTGTAAGGGCTATAGAGTTACTGGTCAATGGGTTGAGTCACTGGATAACATGGGGTGACGAGTCACTGGAAAACGCGTGCGGCGAAGTCACTGGATGGCGGCGGTGATTGCAACTGCGATGGTGCTGGCTTGCTGGTTGGCCGATTGATTTTTTCTCTATGAGAAAGCTGGCCGGATGATTATGTTTTCATTATAATAAATACAATACTAAAATAATAAATGTAATATTTAATAAAGAACATGATTAGTCACTTTTTTGGAAAACTCAAAACCAAGTTATGTTTTTGTCTTTCTTATTTATGTTAGTAATATTCATAAAAAAGACCATAAGATCCACGGGCGACAAGGGGTGTTTTCGACCTACACATCATGATATGTGTAAGGAATAATTGTAATTAGATTTTGATGATGCTAGATTAATTAGGATCTTAGAGTACCCCTTTAGAAATTATGTATTAGAATTTTCTTTAGTAAAGTTCTTAGATGTATTCGACTTGACAGAAGACCTTCAAGAGCAGAAGGACTTCAAGAGCAGAAGTGCCTCTTAAGGCATTATTGAAACAGAGGACCTTTGGTTCTCTGCTCCAGAATAGAAGTCCTCAGGATCTCTGTTAGTTTTGACTCTGACAGAAACCCTTCTGGGTCTCTGTTGGATACTCCCAACAGAAGTGCTCCAGGCCTCCTCTGTTCTACTCTCAGACAAAGACACCAGAAGGTCTGACACTTAGAAGATTTTCAAAGAACCGGGAAGTCAACTTAAAGATTCCTTCAACGGCTAGGAGTATGAAACGGAAAAGCTACAGTGCTCGCATTAAATGCTCATTTAATGCTCCCCATGCTCCGTGGAGTAATTGCAGATGATTGGCCGCAATGTCAGGATTACTTTATCCCAAAATAGTAACCCGCCAACTTTACCGGGTCCTACTGGTCAAGTCAACTGCTCGCGCATTAAATGCAGTTGTCCTCCTACTCCTCCAACGGGAAGACAACCTCAGTATAAAAGATACACTACGAAGAACAACCGGATAACTTTGCTAAAACTTTGCTACAACTTTGATATAACTTTGCCAAGATAACATTGCAACTCTTGCTAACCACAAGCAAGATATTCAAACTCTAAAAAGCAAAAAGCCTCCTTGAGATTCAAACTCATTATCCTCTACAAGAGAAGGCAGAAGTTGGAAAAATACTCTTTCCAACTCAAGCAAAGTTCCAAGTGTTCTTCAACTCTTCAAGCTCATCACATACAAATCTTTTGTAACGAAGCTAGTTGGAGGAACCCCAGTTTCAACAGAAATTCTTCTTGCTACAAGAAGGACGTCCAAATAACTGGAGTAGTGAAGTGGTGATACTTCAAGGAAACTCAGTGAAAGGACTAGTGTTAAAGGAAGCCAGACAGTGCATCCCAGGACACATCTAGGCTTGAAGAAGACGTGGAGTGCTTCTTAAGTACTAGGACTAAGGCTTTGTAAACGGCAGTTTTTACAGCTTAGTGGAACAGTGGATTAGAGGAACGAGTTGTTCCTTGAACCACTATAAAAATCCCTGGTGTCGTTTACTTACTGCTTTTAATACTTGCACTTAGTTAGAACTGTATAACTCCTTGGACTTGGTATCTGTGTTCAGCAGAACTTGTTCTACGAGTTAACAGAAGGCCTACTGCCTATTGCTTCTCTGAGGCTAACAGAACTCCCTACCAGAACCCCATCCGCTGCCAGTCTGTTCTTCCAACAGAACAGGCTATTCTGTAAATCTGGTACTTAGTTTAAAAAGCTAAAAACCAATACAGTCTATTCACCCCCCCTCTAGACTGTATCCAGTATAACCGGGACTGACAAGTGGTATCAGAGCCTCCCTGTTCTAATAATCTTTTAGGTTATTTGTTGAACAAAGATCCACTTGTTTTTCTGTTTAACCTCATTTCTATCTGATATAATGGATCACTCCTTGTCCAAGAATCTTATGTTTTCAGATCTTAAGTTTGATGACTGGAGGATCCGGATGAAAGCACATCTCTGTGCC